AATTTAAACATTTTCATTTTTCTGAAGTATTCTCATCAGAATCGTTATTGTCCATGTAAAATTTTTAATGAAATCTTGTTTATCAAGTATTTTTGCTCATATCAACCAGTAATAGTGTTTGCAGTTGGAAATTTACTTATGTGGACATTATATTTACCATGTATAATTATTCTAAATCAAATCTTGCAAATAGGAATTTTATTAAAAAATTTGCACCAGTCATGGTAGCTCACGCCTGTAATCCCAGCACTTTGGGAGGCTGAGGCAGGAGGATTGCTTGAGGCCAGGAGTTCAAGACCAGCCTGGTCAATACAGCGAGACCCCATTTCTACAAAAAAATTTAAAGCTTAGCCAGGCGTGGGTGGTTCGTGCCTGTAGGCTGAGGCAGGAAGATCGCTTGAGCCTGGGAGTCAGAGGGGGACCCTGTCTCTGGGAGGGAAAAAAAAAATTTGCTTCTTTCAATTTTTAGTCAATAACAAATTTTTATGTGCAATTTTAATTTTATTTTATTTTTACCATTAAGATTCATTATAAATTGGATAAAAATATTTTGCATTTATTTCTTAGCTAATTCACCAGAAAATAGTAAACTGTTTTGGGATTGCTGCATTGTGAAGGCTCACACTGCTGTTTTGCTCCTCCCGTTGGTTCCCCTGCCTGCCTCCCCATTTCTTTGGCTGCTGTTCTCTGTAGTGCTCCTTCTGCTGGGGCAGCAGAGAGCAAATGGCAGGGCAAAGTGTTTTGCTTTGCTCCAAATGCATCAGTATTGGGTTGGGGGCGTGGGGGGAAGGTAGGTAGGAGTGTTTTTTAAAAAGCACTTTTTGCTTTCTTTCCCATGATTTTTTTTTTTTTCCTATTTTCTCTTTCCCTTCTGTAAAGTTTTCGGCCATTTCATTTTCTCTGACTCACTATTTAGTACTTCTGCCACCTCTCTACCCTGCTTCTCTCTTGCCCCGGTCTTTCTGCCTGCTTCCGCCCTGCCTTCTTTCTCCCGCTCCTTGTCCATCTCACGCATTCTCTGAGTCGCTCTCCTCTGGGGCGTATGGCTGTACTTTCCCCTCTTTTTTCTATTGCTCCAGCCCCATTTTGTTCCAAGAGTTGCTTATCAGAGCCCTCAATGTCATGATTATAAAGGCACAGAAAGAAAATCTTGCCCCTGCCACTCAGCATCCCACCGGGATCAGGCAACCCAGAGAGGCTGTGAACCTGTGCTCCTTGAATGGCTGTAAAAGCAGCGCGGAGGGTGGCTGGCCCACGTGGGCCTGATTTTATGGATCTGTCTGAAGACAGAGGGATGGATGATATGATCTCAGGAGGGTCCTGCCAGATCCAGGAACCTGGGAGCCTCATCTCAATCATCATCAATTTAGATTTATTGGACACCCCCTGGGTGCTTGGAACTGTACTAAATGATTTCATCCTTCAAGCCCTGAAATGTGGTTTCTGCTTTCTTTAGCACTGTTTAAAATATTGTAACATTGAGCTGTTTTACAAGCTTTTGTTAGTCTTTCTGTTATTATTTACTTCTGTGTCCTAAAAACTAAAGTTAGAGGATTTAGTAATGGTATTGTAATTGTCCTTAATTTCTTTTACCACCTCGTAGATTTCTAAGATCCTGTAGATTTCCGCTGGGTGTGGGTTCCTTTCCAGCTAAGGTGAGGGCTGAGGCATTCTGAAAAGTGGGCAGGGTAATATACACGGGGAAGATGTCCTATGGCACTGAAGCTGCAGTAGGGTGGGGTTTGGGGGAACATCTAGGAGAGGCTTGGGAGAGGAAGGAAAGAGGGAGAGGGGGAGAGAGAGCACACACAGTGTGCTTGGAAATAGTTTCTTTTATTTAGTCAACAAGTCTTTATTGAGTGCCTACGCTGTGCAGGTAATTTTCAAGGTGCTGAAGATACACAGTGAATTAAAAATATTTAAAACCCCTACCTTCATTAAGCTTATATTCTAATAGGAAGAGACAGCCAATAAAATAAATGAATAAAATTGGTGGCATGTGCTATAGTTACACAAAATCAGAGAAGGGACATAGGGAGGATGGGGGGTGTTTATTTTTTTTGTTTGTTTTTTTTGAGACAGAGTCTCACTTTGTTGCCCCAGCTAGAGTGCCGTGGCATCAGCCTAGCTCACAGCAACCTCAACCTCCTGGGCTCAAGCGATCCTCCTGCCTCAGCCTCCCGAGTATCTGGGACTACAGGCACGCGCCACCGTGCCCGGCTAATTTTTTCTATATATTTTTAGTTGTCCGATTCATTTCTTTCTATTTTTATTAGAGATGGGGTCTCGCTCTTGCTCAGGCTGGTCTCGAACTCCTGAGCTCAAAGGATCTTCCCGCCTCAGCCTCCCAGGAGGCTGGCATTACAGGTGTGAGCCACCGCGCCCGGCCGTGGAGTATGGGGGGGGTGTTTAAAGGATCATTTTAAAAGGATGGTCAGGGAGGTTCTCATTGATAAAATAGAAACCTGAAGGAGGTAGGGAACAAGCCCGAGCAAAGATCTAGGTGAAGAGCATAGTATTCCAAACAGAGGGAAGAAAAATGGGCAGGGGAGTGGTAAGGGCGGAGCCGGGAGACCAGGTGGGAGAAGGTGTCCGGGAATCGGGTCGGAGATGGTGCTGACGCGGACTGGCTGGTAGCAGCGGAGGGGGCGAGAAGGCGCCGGGCTCGGGGCATGCTGTCAAGGCATCGCACTAGCAGGGTTCGCGGGTGAGTTGGACACGGGCTGCGAGAGAGAGGAGTGAAGGATGGCACACCTTTGCGTGTTTGGTTTGGCTTGCACACCCGGAACCTGGAGTTACCCTTAACTGAGATGAAGACGTGGGTAGAGATGAGGAAGAGCTGATCTGTCCGTAGTTCAGTCGGGGACATGTGAAGTTCTGCAGAAGCAGAAACTAGTGTGGGGACAAGCCCTTGGTGAAACGGAGGAGGGAACCAAGGATGTAAGTCTTACAGGAAACAAGATGGGTACGGCTGGGGATGGGATGAGGGAGAGAGCACAGGACGGGCGGGGCGAGGCATGGTGAGGACGCGTCATCCGCGGGTGGCGGCGGTACTTGTCCACACAGGGCCCGGCGCTGCGCACCGGGGTAGCTCGTGCGGCTGTTAAGGGGAGAACGAGACCATTTGCCCGTGGAAAGCCTGAGTAGGAGCAGCATGGGGAGACCGGGCGAGCCTACACTGGGGCGGGCCGCTCGGGCTTTGCGGAGGCCAGACGAAGAAGGAAGCACGAGAGGAAGGAACGGGGAGGGATGAAGACACCCTTGAGGTTTGAGGCTGACTGGGATGAAGGTGGGCGGTGTGGACAGGGCCTGAGAATTCTGGCCCCAGAAGAAAATGTCAGTGAGGAAAAGGAGCAGGTGTAGATAGACCACATCCGTGAAGGGAAAGGGTGACTCTGGAGAATGGGGCGGGGAGGTGTTCGCTCTATCCACGGGCGCGCGCACGCCTTCCTTGTCTTACAAAGCATCTCACCGTGCCCGGAATTTAGTTTGAGTCGTACTCTCAACCTCCGAGTGTGCTCGTGCACGCACGTGCAACACTTGGCAGACACAGACTCGCTCCCGCCGATGTTCAGGAAGGCCTCCTGCCTGTGCACACTGAACTCTCTTGGAAACAGCTAACTATTTAGCTGTTTAGCAATCAGTTCACAGACTGTGCATTTTCTCTGTTCTCTTTCCTAGTGGTTGGTTGTCTTTTGACTTCCTGTTGTTTCACTCACTGCTCTTTGGTTCTTTGGGCAGAAAACAGGGGAGTTTGTAAAACTCAAAACGCTGAAAACATTTGTAATGCGTTATTTGGAGTTCCGATAAAATACATCGGTAGATGAGAAGATTAAAACCAATGGTTGAAATAAATTTTAGAATTAGGCGTGGATTAAAATGTTTATATGCCTGTGATTACAAATAATCAGTTATCTACTGGGTCAAATTTCTTTCACCATTTCCTTCTCTGTGTTTTTCCCCATTGCACTTCTGCTTCTTCCTCCTCCTCCTCCCATGTTCCCTCCAGTCCTCCCAGGGGACATCAAGCTCAGGACCCTCAGGATTCTGAACTTGAGCAGAAAGCAGCTGTTTGTGCTGCTCGGGCAGCCTTGGCCAGGAAAGAGGGAAGGTGGGAAAGAGATGATGGCATTTTAAAGTTAAGGCTATTGATCAAAAGGGGGTCAGGAGGCCTAAGTAACTGGGAGAAAAATCTGGACACAGACAAGGTGCCGCGTGGCTGGGACTCCCACTCCAGGCTGAGTGTCTGGTTAAGGAGAATTGGGAATGGGTTGGTGAGGAAACCTCTGACTCCCAGCTCCTTTGATAACATTTCTTGGACCCAAATTTGGGGGCAGGTCGGGGGACAGGTCAGATGACCTCGAAGGCCATCTGGAAGTGAGATTCTGTGATTCTACATCTAGTGAAGAAGTAAATGAGAAGAAAGAATAGAGGTCATGAGATGGCTCTTGCTGGCTGGGCCAGACGTGGATTCCTTGGGGAATAACAAAGCCCTACAGCCCTCATCTCCCCACCTATCCCGTGAAGGTCAGTTCTCCTTCACTCCATCCCACAGTACTGCTCTGGAAGGATGGTAAGCCAGGCCCCACACTGCCCCATCTGGGACCTGAGGCTGTGAGGTCTGGCTGGCGAGGGTGCTGTCCGAGTGAGACACTGGGCCCTTGGTCTCTGGGTTTGGAGAGAGCTGGGAGGTGGTGGGTCAGGAGAATGAGATGGGATGGTGGGAAAGATGAGGGTCATTGTCCATCCACTTACTGCCTCCCCCGCTGTTCCGTAGTGAGATCTGTGCTGGTTAATACCTTTCTTCCCGTTTCTTTGTCTTCCCCAAACCCCTTCCCTGTTCTCCACCCTGGATGTATGACCCTCTGTCTCCTCTCCTCCCCACTTCTGCATCTGTCCCTGCCGTCCCCACCCCTGGCCACGGCTCCTTGCGCCTCCTCCAAACCGCCTGTCCTTCCCTGCCGTCTCCCTCCCCCACTGGTCCCCGGCCCGGCCCGCAGCAGAGGGGAAGGTGTACAGCTCAGACGAGGCGGCAGCAGGAGACCCAGCGGGCAGCGAACAGGAGGAAGAGGGCTCGGGCGGTGACAGCGAGGACGACGGTTTCCTGGACAGTTCTGCAGGGGGCCCGGGGGCTCTCCTGGGACCTAAACCGAAGCTAAAGGGAAGCCTGGGGACTGGAACTGAGGAGGGGGCACCGGTGGCAGCAGGGGTCACAGCCCCTGGGGGGAAGAGCCGACGGCGCCGCACAGCGTTCACCAGCGAGCAGCTTTTGGAATTGGAGAAGGAGTTTCACTGCAAGAAATACCTGAGCTTGACGGAGCGTTCCCAGATCGCCCACGCCCTCAAGCTCAGTGAGGTGCAGGTCAAGATCTGGTTCCAGAACCGGCGGGCCAAGTGGAAGCGCATCAAAGCCGGCAACGTGAGCAGCCGTTCTGGGGAGCCCGTGAGAAACCCCAAGATTGTCGTGCCCATACCCGTGCACGTCAACAGGTTCGCTGTGCGGAGCCAGCACCAACAAATGGAGCAGGGGGCCCGGCCCTGAAGGGGCGCCAGGGACTTAGGAAGGCAACGGATCTGTGCCTGAGCCCGCGTGAGACTGCGCTGGGGTTCTGTGGACCAGAGGGGCCAGCTGGCAGATAACCTAGCCCTTGGAGTACTCCTCCAGGAACCCGAGATGCGGGTACTTGGCCCTGAGCCTGCTCCAGACACCTTCAGGACTAGGGGCCGCAGGGTAAAGGGGCTCGGGTTCCAGTTGTGGAGGAGCTGTGAGGACTGAGGTGGACTCCTGGGGAGGGGAGGGTTATGATGCCTGGGGCCTGAAGGGTCTGTGGCTAATGCCCTGGAGCAGCCGCTGCGGGGGGAGGAACCAGGACCATACCTAGCCAAGCAGATGGCAGCTCCTTATTTATTTTGTGTAAAGTTTGTATATATGGAGCTATCTGTCTCTGTCTGTCTGCACCCCTGAGAGAGACTGGGAAAGTTGTTTCCTTGGTCCTCAGCCAGAGTTCATTCCATCCTACTCCTTTGGGGCGGGCACCATCTTGCCTCCTTTACAAAGAAATGGAATGGAACTGTCACTGGCCTCTGTAGAACTTCTTCAGCCCCCCAGCGCCCCCCATGTGAACTACCTACCTCCATCCTGTGCTACTCCACCCGGGACTGCTCACTGCCACACTGTGTGCTCCCAACACGCTGCTTCTCGTCCCTCTACCCGCTGAACAGGCGAGCTCCTTCATTTTTGCTTTCTCCGCTTTGGAAGAGTTAGCAGGCTTCAGGGTAGAGATTCACTCCCTTTTGTGTTATGAAGGGCGGTGGAGCATTTGATCCTAGGTTTAGCTGGGTGTGTCCAGGCTGTCTAACTAGGTAGAGGTCCTGTCAGTGACTGGGGTGGGTGTGGGGGGCTCACTCATGTCACCTGTGAGCTCATTAATAAATTTTCTATGCAGAAGACACAGCAGCTTAGTCTATCTCTGCCACCCTTTGATATTCCAGACGCAAGGGCCTCGGGGAAAGACCCGTTTCCAGTTTTCTGGTTTTAACCGTATTAACTGCGGTCTCTCCTCCCCCATTGCACCATTTTTGAAGCTTGGGGGATAGCACAAGCTCCTCTGTTACCACACAAGATCGGCTGAGGGAGGCCACTGCAAGGCGGATGGGACAGAAATGAATCTGCGATGGTTTTACAAGAGTGTGTACTGTGGGGAGGCTACAGAAATCACAGGTAGGAACTGGCATTCTGTTCTGTGAGCAAACTAAGGAACCGCACTAGCGGACAGAGTGAACACGGAGCAGGGCTCTACAGAGACGTTGGGTAGAGGGGGTTAGTAGAGAAACCAGTTGAAGTTGGCATCCTGGTAACTGGGCTTCCTGAGAAGAAACATGACCTGTATTGATTGGGGAGAGGAGCTAGACACAGAACAGAACCATCAAGAAGAAAAACAGGTAGGCTACGAATGTGGCAAGGAAACAGGAAACTAGGGTCAGGGAGGGAAGAGGAGTACAGCTCAGTGAAATACCGGGCCTGTTCCTCTCCCTCCTCAGCAGGTTTCTGGCCATTCCCGATTCCTGGAATGGCAGATTTGTCAACGTCTCCTTCGCTCTAACACTGTTGAACACACCTCTTCCCAGGAGACTCAGACCACCTTTCCTTGGCGGTTCACTTCTCCCAGCTAGTTTTGGCAGCCAGACGGTAGGCAGCCAGGAGCTGGGACTGGCCATTAACGGCACCACAGTCCTGCAGCTGGGGCAGCACTGGTCCAGAGCGCGTCTTCTCCGGTTTGTGGCTGCACTTCGGGAGGGCTTGGGAATTAGACTGAAAATGTGTAGTCCCATTCTCAGCCTGGTCTGGATCAAAGCTAAGTTTACTCTGAGACCGTTAGACTCAGGCCACACAGGGCAGCTACTTACAGGGTGAGATTCTTTTTAGGAGATAAGCCAGGCAGAGGTGGAAGATCACAGGAGCTACTGTCCCTTTGGCGAGGCTGCAGCAGAGAGGCTTTGTGGCTCCGTGACCCGGTGGTGGAGGGTGAGTGAGCACCACCAGGGCAGGAAGGCTGGCGAGAACCAGCCCAAATCAAGGCCTGATCCACCATGTTTTCTGGCACTCCCCATGAAGCCTCCTGAACGGCCCCAAGCTGTATCTAGCCTTCCCAACCAGCTGATCTTCCTTAGGGACTCTGGGGTGATTACTGCTAGTGTCCTGACCCTAAGAACCCACGGCCCTGTGTCTGTTCCGCCCTAATCTATATGTAAGGTCTTATCAGCCTTGCAAAAGGGGCTCTGGACCAAGCAAATAAACTCTGGTTTCCTCTCTGAATAGTGTTACTCGGTTATTTCCCTACATGTAGGCAGGTGCCCATGCACGGAGCACCAGCCCACCACACCTAACGTGTACTCGAGGTGTTTGAGAAAACACGGGCCGCCAGCAACGTGGCTCCGGGAGTGAGGTAGCAACAGACTCCTGAGAGAGCAGGACCCGAATGTAGTAATGTCTCATCCTCTAAGAGCCAGCAGAGAGAGTGGTTCCCCCCAGGTCTTCTTTCTAGAGTACCCAAGGGATACGGTGAGAAGGAAAGCAGGGGCTCTGGATTCTGCCCCTCTAGCTTGGCTTGGCAACATGTCGGTGGCAGTTAAGGTGGCGGTTCTGGTGTCAGTGACCTACCTCCTCCCTTTTCCTCACAAGCAGAGCCTGGGCACGAGTCCCTCTCCCCTGTCACACAGCTGTCCTGAGAGAAGTGCTGCCACTCATCCCGTGGCCTCCTTGAAGTTCTTCTCCCATTTATTGACTCCGGCGTCTCTGTGCATCTGGCTGTGGGGCGGGTCCCCAGACTCGGAGGAAGGGGGACAACGCTCGTGCCCTTGCTAGTCAGCACAGGGTGGGGCATGAGGTTACCAGGGACAACGTTGGTGACAACGAAGAGACTAGCTGGAATCTTCCTGCAGGTGGGGACTGAGTGGGGACGGCGGCACCAGGAGGGAGCCGAGAGCTCTGTCTCCCCGTGCCAGGGCTCGCTGTGCCCAGCCGCTGGTGCGCCGCGCCTCTGCCGGGGAGGCGGAAGGGAGCCCACGCGAGGAGGAGGCCGAGGAAAGACAACCTGGGACCCAGGCTAAAGGGGAGAAAGTCTTAGAACACAGACAGCAAAAAATGACACGTAAGGGACACGGAAGTAGCGGTGAGGGGCGTTCTTGGAAGGGCAGCAATGTAACAGGGGACAAGGCCACACACACAGTCTGGTTTATTGGCTCATCATACACGCACACCAGGTATGTACACAAACATAAATATTCCAATGTACAAAGTTTACATAGGACTCACAGATCACCCTGTCTCTCCCATCCAGCACCCCAACCTGTGCCCTGTCCCAACTTTAGGATGAGGGCTTGCGGGGGCTGGCAGCTGGAGGAAGGGATCTGGAGGAGGGAGAGGTCCCGCTCCCCTCTCCTCACGGGCACCTCCAAAGGGTCCTGTCCCTTTTCAACGGCACCTCTGGGCAGAGGGCTAAATACCTCGCTCCCTCTCTCTGCTGCGGCTCAAATCCCAAAACTCTCCTTGGATCCCTCTGCCTCTCCTCATTTCCTCTCCTCCTTCCTCTGCGTGTCGCTGCTTCTCTGTCTCTGTGTCTGTTTCTTCCAGCGCCTGCAGAGAGGAGGATCCCCAGACTATGGAGTCCTTCTGGCCCCTCTGTCCTTTTCCTGGGCCTTATAGGAGGCTGGGACTGCGGTGCAGCTCGGCAGAGGGGTTGGTGCCGTTGGCAGGCTCTCTGTTGGGGGTAGGCGCTAAGCCACAGCCCTCCCCGGGGCAGCCGTGCTGGATCAAGATGTCTGCACACTCCTGGCTGCCGGCCCGGCGGGCATAGGCCAGCGGGGTCAGGCCCCGGGCGTCCCGGCTCCTCACGTCCACCCCATACTGCAGGAGAAAGCACATTTTCACCGTTGGCATGACATGGGAGGAGAGATACCGGTTTTGGGGGGAAGGAAACAGAGGTGGCTTTCGAAGGGCTAGAGTGAGGAGGGCAAGATAAAGGTAGGTCCGAGGTGCCTGGACTCACCCAGATGAGCAGCTGCGTGAAGACAACGTTGGCCATGGCGCTGGAGAGGTGCAGAGCCGTCCGCCCGTCCCCGTCCCCATAGGTCTCGTTCACCTCCTCCTTGGACCCGTGTGCCAGAAGCATCACCAGCAGCCGCAGGTCATCCTCCACCACCGCCCGGAGCAGCTGCTGCCCCAGCGGCACGTCGGAGCTCGGCAGCGGGGCTAGGAAGAGCTTCTGCTCGTACTTGGCCCGTATCCAGCGCTCCTTCTCCTCTCTGCAGCCACAGGTCCGGCGGGCGCGAGCGAGGCAGGACGGCAAGCCAACAGGTGGGCAGGGAGGTGGTCAGCACAGGAACGGGGGACAAGGGAGAAACAGAACGTGAGACGGAGCAGAGAGAAGAGAGAGAAGCCCAAGAGACCCCAGGGCACACGGAGAACGCAAGGCGGGCAGGAGAGGCTGAAAGGAAGGGACACTGAAGAGAGGACCCTTGGGGCAGCAGGGATGTGGGGGCTGAGAGGGCAGGACGGCTCCAGGCAGGCCCGGGTGGCAGCTTATCTGGCCGTCTGAACTCTCTCCGACTGGCAGTGCGGGAACAAAGCGGGCGGGGGCCGGCGCTGGGGGCCGCGCACTGCCCTATCTAGCGCCCATTCTCCCCATCTCCGCGCGCGGCCGGGCGTCCGCTCCACACCGCGATAGGGGCCCGGCGCATGCGCCTCCTGCTGGCCCCCTGACCTGCTGATAACGGCTCAGAAAGGGCCCGTTGTTGTGAGGCGCCTGAGTGACAGGCACCAGAGGGGGCGGGGGACCCCCAAGGGGCCAACTGCCAAGCAGAGCAACCGCTACTTTTAACCCTTCTAACACTGTCACGGCCACTGCAGTCTTCCCCTCGCTGGGAGCCCCGGATGTCCCCGCCCTCCCTGGCCAGCTTCAGGGCCCCATCCGCTCACCTGCACGCCTCAGGCCCTGGCTTCGCGTAGCCGTCCAGGGCCCCCTCCCAGACGCTGTTGGCCAGGGCATTGCCCATCGCGGTCATGACAGCCAGCAGCTCGGGGGGCCAATCGTCAAGGTCCAAGGAGCGGACCCGGGACAGGTGAGCCCCCAGGTGTCGGTGGATCCCTGAGCACTCGATGCACATCAGGGCGCCCAGGTTCAGGCTGGCCCAGTCTGGGTCTAGGCGAGGAGAGGAAGACAGTGCAGCCGACGGGCAGCCAGGACGTGGGACAGCTAGGAAAGTCCTGCCCCCTGCATCCTCCCGCCTCTTGGAGCCTGCCAAGCTTTCTCTGGGCCCCCCACCCCCACCCCCCAGCCCCCAGCCCCAGCCCCAGCACTCACTGGGGGCGTCACAGTCGATGCAGAAGCTGTTGCCACGGACGGTGCGGACGGCCTGCACAGCCAGAGCTGCGTTCTGGTTCCCCAGCCGCGTCTGCCGGGGACGGGAGAGGCAAGGGTCAGTCACGAGGCCTCTTGCCGCCCCGTCCCGGCCAGGTGCTCCGCGCGGCCCCGCCTCCCCGTGCCAACCTTGTCCTTGGCGCTGCGGCAGCCCTGCAGGCTGGCGAGGATCTGGGCCTGCACGCTCTGCACCCACAGCTCCCGCTCCTCCGCCGTCGAGGCCTCGAAGTGCCACGTCTGCCCGGTTAGGGACACCACCACGAACTCGAAGGACTCCTCCGCCTCTGTGGAGGGGAGGTCACGCCTTCAAGGCACCCGGCCGACGCACACGCCTGGCGCGGCAACGCCACTCCCTGCCCGGCCCCCCTGGTACTCGTCCTGCCCCAGGTCTGCCCACCCGGCCACACGGGCCACGCTCGGGGGGGGGGGGACGCAGAGTAGCAGAGTAAACTTGTAAGACTAGTGCGAGCCCTCGGACTTCACTCCTAACCACCTGTGGAGCCTGGGGGGAAAAAAGGCGGTGACAGCCCTTGACATCCCTGGCACTGCCAGGCACGGGTCTGCAGCCAGAGCGAGGTGCTTCCTGGGGAAAGGAGAGCCGAGTGTCTGGAGAAGGGTGCGACGGGCGCCAGGAGGCAAATGCTGGGAGAGGGTGGGGGAGGCGGGAGTGGGCACCATCCGTATATGTCAGCTGCAGCCGCCTCATTTTGCAGCTCATTAAACCCAATATTCCTGACGGCGTCAGCGTGGGGCTCCTGGGAGCTGGGCCCCTCCCCCACCACCCTGGCACAGACAGGCAGGAAGGGCAAGTGCACGGGGGAGAGGAGGAGAGGTTTTCTCCGGGAGCATGTGAGCAACCGGGGCCCGCAGGCATCTGCGGGAACAAGCGCTGGGGGCTGGACTGCTCCCCCCGAGCAGTGTGGTGAAGCCCCTCCGAGCTCTGCTCCCCCAGGCCCCAGGAAGACAGCCACAGCCACACGAGTCTCATTCCAACGGTCACTGCCCCATGGTGAACAGTTCCTCACGAGCAGTGTGACTGCGCCATGGAGGCCAGAGAGACAGCACCACAGGTACCTGTTGGGGAGGCCCCAGGGCGAGCCGCACCTTTGGCCAAGGCCATCCCTGCTCCTAAGTCCTCGCTGCATCTTGGCCCTGGGCAGCCCCACCTCAATGACGCCAGCCCCTCCTGGAAGTCTTCCCCTGCTGGCTCCTGCTCTCAGGGCCACTGGCGGGACAGGGCTGCCCTCTCACACAGACGGCACCGGCGCCTCCGCCTGCCCCAGGCACCACCGCTGCACCCACCTCGCCCATAACCACAGCCTCCGAGCCACAGCGTCTCCATGGTCACTGCGGGTCTCAGTCCCCTGGACCCCAGTGGACACCCTGTTCCGTGAGCGCCAAGCAGCACTGTGTCACAGGCTGCCTGGAAAAGCTCATCTCCGCTCACCTGACCCACGCCCCTAACCCTGACAATTAGAGCAGAAGGAGAAATTGTGAGTCTACAGAAATTAAACTTATTTGGGAGCAAAGAGACTCCAATCACTGAGAAGAGGGAGGTTTTGAAGATACTTTGGGGAAAATGAGAGGAGCAGCGCTATAATTAGCAAAGGATTATGAGAAAGGTCCTACCGCAGGATGCTTAAGGAGCTGAATTCCTTAGCCTAGGGAAGACTAAGGGGAGACTTCGCCGGTCTGTACACACGTATTAAGCACCTACTAAGTATCCAGCACTCGTTAAACTCGGATGACACAAGAGACACAGAAAACGCAGGTCCCGCCCCACGTGTCTTGGCAGAGCTACTGCACTAGTAGCCCGCTTTCGCAAACCTTCTTTGAGAATAAAAGAAGTAACCTCACATTTCAACAGAAAGAGTTTCAGTTAGCAAAAAAAAAAAAGAGAACCTTCCTGAGATTCTGGGTCTAGATTACCAAAAGAAGTTAGGAAACTACCTTTATTGGAAATTACTACTAGAAAGTGCCTAATCCACTTAATGCATAGAAAAGGTGTTACTTTTAGGGTACTGTCCCCAAGTCCCACTGCCCACCTCCTGTGCCCGTTTCCCTCTGGGGCCCCCTAACCTTCAGCAGCACTGCTGGGGCCGTCTGGTCGGGGGGTCCCGCTGCTCTTTTTCCGCCGGTGCTTCTTCCGGTTGGAGTGGGGAGATGGGGGAGGCTCCAGCTTGGGGCTGGAACTGAGCACCTCAGCTGGGCCACTGGCTGGTGAGGGGAGAGGTGGAGAGGTGTGGGAAGAGGGGAGGCAGAGGGCCGGGGCAGGCCCCGGGCACAGGGAGGGGGGACCAGTCCTGCCAACCGTAGCTGGGCCACACCTGGGCCAGCCAGACGGACACCCTCTCTCCAGGCTCCAGGCGAGGGGGCTGCCAGGCTACCCAGTCCCAGAGCTCCCAGCCATGGAGGAGGGAAATGTTGGGAGTGAGGAAACTTCGAGCAGGAGAGAGGCGCAGGGAGGAGACTGCCTCTGCAGCCTGGAGGGTGGAAGGCAGCCCGGGAACTCACAGGGAGCTGAAGCCCCAGCAGCTCCGCACCAAATTTATCCTCAATCACACTCCCCGC